TTAATGAAAATTCTGAAATATCCCTTAAATAAATCTCAAACAAATATTTCTCAAGCTGCAAAGTGACAGCCAAAGGTAAAAACAAATATTTGTTGAACGTTTTAAGCACATCTGTCTTTTATTCGAAATATCCTTAAACATTTTTAAAAGCTTTCTCAATTTTGAGTTGAATTTTTATTGCTGGCATATCATTGATTTGTTTTTATTCATTTTGTTAATTTAAACGACCCTCAACTGAAAATGTGTAAAAGGGTATTTTGAGATTTTGATAAAGTATGTAGAAGGCAGAATGCACAAGCTACCCTATAAAGAATATGTATTCTTGATAAGCATGATTAGTCGAATCGATTTAGCAATATCCCTCTATCTTTAAACCATACAAACCAGTTCCTCAGTTTTAAAGTTAGTTCAATGAAACTGAATTGATCGGATCAGTATATCATATGGCTGTCATAGGAACTTTAGCTGTAGTAGAACTTTATCGTTTACAAAGCTAAGCAAGTCAAACTCATTAAATAAGATAGTTATTATGCTGCTCACATTTGGCAAAAAAAAAAAAACTTTCATAGGAACAATCGTTCGGTTATTTTTATAGTGAAATTTATATGATTTAGATGATGAAGTGAAATTAAGCCGTTCTTTGTTGTGTTTTCGTTCATATTTATTTGGTTATTTAAAAGACTTCCAAGCACTCTTTGCTCTGTTCTGCAATTCAAATACTCAAAATACTTTGCTGTTTCATAAATGTTTTTGACAGTTCCTGATATTAAATCAAATTCACATTTGTATATGTATTTTCTGCTATGAATTGTCACAAATCACGAAAGGTTTGTCAAACATAACAAAAAATCTCCCACAAATATTTATCAAACAAAGCTGCTGATTTTGAATGATTATCAAATCCTTCCATGGGCACATACCACCCACACTCATGTGGTTCAAACACCCGCATTAGCTGCTGGCAGCTATTTAAAGCCTAAACGAGAAGCCACACACACACACACACACACACAAGAAGCATACAACAAAGACACACATACACACTAGATATGAGCATGTTTATGTGGCAAACTGTAAAGTTGGCTGCTGACCGTGACGTGCACGTTTCGTTGTCGCGAAATGCGGACCTTGTTGCAGGTTGAATGTTGCACACGTTGCCGGCTGCCGGCTGCCAGTTGCCGGTTGGCAACTTGCTGTTTGTGTTGGCCCCCATGGCATTTTTGGGAGTACGTGCCGACGTTGTTGTCTGCTGTTGCCGTTGTCGTTACTATTTCTACCTGACGCTTGACTTTCTTTCTTTCTCTAATGAAATGCGGTTGCAAATGCAATTTCAAATTTAAAAAAAAAAAAAACATTTTATCTGTCGACGACAGGCGGCCCAAACACAGACACAGACACTGACACACAACAGACCAGCAGCAGCAGCACGTGATGTGCCACTGCATGTGTGTTTGTGTGTGTCCATTGTGTGTGTTTATCTCTCGCTCTCTCTCTCTCTCTCTCTCTCTCGCCATGTGTGTGCTTTCCTGTTTCCTCGTGAACAGTCAGCATGTTTGCACCTTGTCGAAATTAGTGTTTGTACCAAAATGAACACGATTTGTTTGACCAGCAGGTGTTGAAAATACACTGCGCTCCATGGCTGAGTTCTACTGTATTGCAAGCAACCCTATCTCCCTCTCTCTCTCTCTCTCTCCCACTCTCTCTTTTCACACTGTCTTCTGATTTTTCTCGTTATGTATCTTGTTGCAGTGTTTTGTGAGTGTGTCGCACATGGCGTATGGGCAATGTTTTTCAAATTGTTGCGGTCGCTTCTGGTCGTCTCTTATTGTGCCTGTGTTTGGACCGTGGTTTTGAATTGATTGTCAGTTGTTGCTGCTGCTTGTTCTGCATGTTTTGTGTTTTGCTGCAGAATTTTTTGTGTCAGCTGCGATTTGTGCTGGAATGTTTCATTTTAGATAGTTGCAAAAAATCAAGATAGGTCGTCATGTGCCTTGTCGCTTTTATTGCTTGTTTTGCCATTTAAATATATATACGAGTTTTCAAAACATACCAGATTCTCACAGGCATAGGCCCCGGCAGCTAAAGATTGTATATCCACTGTTCACATCTTATGGCTTTTAGTGAAAACAAATTGGTGGAGAGAGCTCAACTAGTCGATAACCAAAACCAGCTTTTAAATACACAATTGGCTTGCTGATTATAGGTTAGGAAAATAAACTTTGGTTAACAAAATCTGAGTTCCTTATTCAGAATTTGTTGAATTGATCAATAATATGCCGGGGTATATTATATTTCAATTGGAAATCTATATCTTCACATTTTTAGCTATTATTGCTATTGAAAATTGTATGATAATTGATTGATTTACATTTCTAATTTTGAAGTATCTAGTTTTGTTAGGATTTAATGGATTTAATCGACTCGGCTATCGATTCTGATCAATAAAATATGCACTTTTTGTGTTCGTACATGATTCCTTCAACTTGTTGCAGACCTTCACAAATTCATTCATTGTACTAAATTATATAAATTCTCATAGTATTTATTTATTGTAATTTAAATTGACCTTTTAACTTTGTGAACGAGCTTTTTTGGCCTTATTCTCTTGTTGTCAACTGCAACTGCAGTTAGAGTGAATGAAATTTATATTTTAAATGCCTCATCGAGGTATTAAAGCTATGTCAAAAACAAACTTAAACTCTATTAGAGCCAAGGACAAACAAAATATTTATAAAACAACAACAATCAGCACACACACACAACCAGTTACATCAACAATGCCAGCAGTTGACAAGTGTGTCCGTTGTGGTTGTTGTTGTTGTTGTTGAGAAGCCAAGAGAAACCAAACAAATTCTGGCAGATGCCGCAATACGGTAACTGCTGCATAGGCCAACAATTGCTGCAGGGAGTCCTGCTGTGACGTCACATTGCCAAAAGCATCCAACCAAAAATGAAACAACAACAAAATATCAACACAAATCTGTGGCATTGAGTGAGCCGCGAAATTTCAAGTTCGGCAGCTTAATAGAATAACAGCCGCCGGCGTTCATCACGTTTTGGCAAATGGGCGTGGCACCGCCACCGCCAGACATAAATAACAATTTATAGCCGAATGGCCAGACGGTCGGGCAAACATATAAACAACAGCGCTAAGCTTTTACACAGTCCACTCATAAAATATTTTATTATCAGCGTTTTGAAAAACGTTTTCGCTTCCAGTTGAAATAAATGTCTACTTGACTCATATAAAGTCTAATATTGTTCTTTCGATGTTTAAGGAATTTATTCAAGCTGATATATCAAGACTTCAATATGAAATTCGAAGTTCTAATTGGCCTAAAATAAATATTACTTAAAAAATAATTTATGGGAAACATATACTTTGGTAAATAAGCACACCAAAAATTATATGAAACATATAAAACCAAAAACGAATAAAATTTTACTTATTTATACAAATATTAAATCTGATTTAAGTCAATAATTAATCTGGATATCTATATACGATTAAGTTTTTCTATGAGACATTATGATTATCAATTTCATATCAGTTTCAAAACAGAGCTAATATTTTTAAACTAAATATTTACTAAAAATGTACCGTTACTACCATTAGTATTATTATTATTTTATAATTTTCGGTTCTGAGTATACAAATATTTGTAATTTTAATAAATAAATAAGTAAAAATTCAGCAGTAATCTTTCAGCTGGTGTAAACGGTTTTGAAAACACATACGACTAGTTTTTATTTATTTAATTTTTTTTCTTAATTTTCGCTTTTCATTTATGGCCGCGAAAACTATAAAGTGGCAGCAGACACTGCTGTGGCACAGCTAAAATCTGTCAAACTCTAATCAGAAATGCAGACAAAACTGACAAATACGAATGAGTTGGCAGTCATACGACAAGCAGAGAGTCAGACAGATAGACTGACTGATAGACAGACAGACTGACAGCCAGAGAGTTGTCAGACACTGCAGCAGTGTTTGCTTTTCAATGCCAAAAATTGTTGTAAGCTTGTAGTTGCAGATAGGCCTGCCATGGAATTCTTAGAGGAGTTCTTTGGGACTTCTTCTACTTCTTCGTCTTCCGTTCGTCGAGGCAAACTCATTAACAAGTTGGCACATAAAATGGCAAAAACTCAACGGTGCATCCCCAAACTGTCGATGACTGGCGACAAGCTGCCGCATCAGCAGCCGCAACTAATGGCTGACTGCCAGCTTAATAGTAGTTGCCTTTTGATAGAAGGAGCAGCTCAACTCCTGTAGCGAATTGCGAATACGAATGTGAAGTTTTATTAAAAGCCAACAGTCTGCGACATAAGTAAGTACACAGCACAGCCAAGCCCAGACCAGCCCAGCTGCGACTATCGCAGCGGAAGAGCAGACACGGGCTGATAAATACAGACAGAAATAAATGCCAAAGGCCAAGTACAGTCATGTCTATGGGATGAAGATATGGGCTGCGGAAGATACAAGCCAAATTTTAAAATCTTATCTAACAGATACTATAACTTTAGAAAAAATCGCACTTCTCTGCGTGATGTTGGCGTTCTTATTGCTGATTTATCTTCGTAGTTAGAAAAATTATTTTTTGCTGTTAAATTGACTATTGGCTTTCCTATAATTTGTTTTTTTTTTTATATACGACCTTCTTCAGACAAATGTATATTATATAGATATATTCTTGATATTTGTCTGATATAAATTTTATATACTCAAAGTTTTCTATTCGTGTTTTTGAGATTTTTATTTCTATTGACGTTTTCTTGTAGGTTAATTTGGGTTTTAATGTGTTAAAATCAATTCAATCACATATTCCTTAAACAAATGGGCTTGATCTGATTTTTGTTTCCAATCCACACTGATCCGTGCTGAACACGTTGCCCATACTGAAAACTTCTATCACTCAACTTTGGAGGCGTTGATTTATTTGCCGACTCAAGCCAGGGTAGATTTTTCTAAACAAACTCGTCCCTTGTACGACAGACTGACAGAATCCAAGTCAACGCTTGCATTTATTCTCAAACCGAAAACTATATCAACATTTTTACAACATTTAGATATATGTAGAGCTATATATATAAATACTCTTTATGGAGTCGCAAATGCTTCTTACTGCCTTATGTTATAGTCATAATAAATTGAACTAAATACTTATATTGAGTACGAGAATTTTACCTCTCCACTTCAACTACGTTCACGTAGTCGAGTGTCTACTATATTTGCGAATTCGTAACCAACAACCGCGAAAATTATGTGGCACATGTGTTGTCAGTCCAATTGCCAGCCAACCAGCAAGCTAAGAATTTCTACGGTTCTTGAGACAGTGAGGCAGACTGAAGCAGACGTCACAGTCTGTCAGACAGTTAAGTTTCTGGAACGTTGATTTGTTCTTGTATCTATTCTTAATTGTGTTTTGCGTCGCCTGCTAGTTTATAAATTTGTGGTTTGACTTGGAGGATTTTGAGGCGTGCGTATACTTTTAATCACAGCAAACTTTCTTATCGGCGAAGCAAGTACATTGACCCGGCACACAGCAGCAGCTACGCACAAAGCTGGTGGTATAGGGAAAGACAATTATACGCCAAACGTTGTCCATCTCCAGCGTCTCATAGTGGAAGCCATTGTGGAGTAAGGAATGCGGCTGTCGCAGGCCATAGAACGTTAAAATGGGCATCATACAGACATCGAAACAATTCACATAGAACTGAGCACAAGTGATCCGTTTGGCCAGCTCATAAACGGTCGAGATGCGCTCATCGAATAGATGCACTGCATCGAACTGGGGCTGCTCATGATCAAATATGCGCGCTGCCTCGGGTACATCGCTAAATCGCTTCAATACGACGACACCGGAGGGGCTGGAGCTGAAAAACAGTTGAGTCACCTTGTCCGTCACAATGATGGGACTGGCTATTGGTGGGGCATTGCTCTCGGGTGCGACCACATATTTCACACCGCCCAACTTCAGTTCGAGCAGGCTGCGCTCAAAATTCGGATGTGTTGCAACATGTGGCTTCACCTGATGGAAACGATTGCGGACACGCTCAATGAACTCATCGTACACCGCGTGCTGCACGGCCACAACGGCAATCGGAAAGGGATCGAAGGGTTCGTGCATCCGCTCTGCCAAGTAATGTGCCGCCGTATTCAGATCCCCCTTCTCGAATACGAATAGAAAACGGGCATGAGTCCAACTCGTCTTGGTTTTTGTTGGTGGCGGTGCCTAAGCACGTTGTATTTTTGGCTGGATATTAACTAAACTATGGCACTGAAAGTCTTTCGCCTTACCAGCTCAAATTTGAGTTTATCACAACGTAAGTGATTCACCAAATCAGATGTTATGAAGTTATCGGGTATTTGGCACATTGTGTTATCGATTAATCGCTTAAGATAAAATAATTTAGTGAAGACGCAAAGATTTTGTTATTTAAGAGAAAAATAAACGTTTTAGTTCTAAGCCTGCCTTGATTCTTCTTCTTTGAAGAATGCCTTTAAAATAGTATAACAAACCGGAATTAAAATCAGCTAGTATATTACAACTTATATTCCTACTTTGAAGACTCTAGCTCTTAGTCTCTGAGATCCGCTTATTCATACAGAGGGACAGACAGATATGGCTAGGTCGACTCGACGGTCTTGATCCAGTGATCAAGAATATAATTATATAATAATTGTAACAAACACGCGTTAGCGACTAATCTAGATCAGCTCTGTCTACCAAAGTTCCGGCCTTGCCCAGGCCTATGGGTTGGATTTGTTCTTGCGATCGCGTTATTTAAATAAATATTTTAGACAAAATAAGGATACAAACCGAAAGCTATCAAGAGTCGACAATACGTTATCGATAGAGAACAACTATCATTTAGAGGAGCGTTACTGTTTGAGAAACTCGTTGGTTCTCTTATAAATTTATGAATAGGTCTTATTCGTTCACACTAATACTTCGCAATACACACAAGTCCTTATTGTTATTTTGTTGTTGGCTTATTCCATCGCTGTATGCAGGCCTTGCGTTGACGATCCTTCAAAATATTCCAAAAAATATTACAATGAATGTTATGTTGCAAGCTATGAAATAAAATACAAACTAATAAGTTATTTATATTCAAAAATTAACTTTAAATAAAAACTTAATTAACCATTAATGTGTAGTGTACTCGTAACGATATCGAGCCTACTCAACCATAGGTGGCGCTAATATCACGAAGCAATCCGATAAACGCAGAGAATGCGTGCACGCAACCGACGCGATGTGGTTCCCAAAATGAGTAAAGAAATATTCCCTCGGTGTAGCAGGAAAAGGGACTTGCCGCTGTGACCGACATGGCGCAGCGCCTCGTATGGGCGGAACAATGCACAAAATATTCCCTCGATGCAAGTCACTTGTTATTAGCCATGATTGAGGGAAAACACATCGGAAATATACTTGTCGTAAGACTAAATCTGAACGTGGCACTCAGGATCTAAAATATGGGCGGCAGTGGCGATCCAAACGAAGCTGGCGATAAGTCTTTCTTTAATAATTATTTATTTTCCACACACATTTTGCGATGTACAAGACGCTTGATAGAGAAAGAATGATCGAAGGCCAGAGAAGTTTGCTGCGCACGCAATTCGATTGCACTTCGATTGCACTTCGATAGCACTTCGATTGCAATTCGATTGCAGTCGGCGTTGCCAACCGCACCAATAAGGCCTGCCAACAGGTTGCCAATCAGAGGGATGCCGATCAGCTGCTATCCAACTCGCCACAGAGTTCAAAGATCAACATTTTAATACGACATTTTATTTGAATAAATAAAATTAAATAAAATTATTTTGAACCTTATTTTTTGCAAAGCATATAACATAAAATCTGACCGAGTTATCAACGTATCAAATTATTCCACAGTCAATTACGCCGTCGGGCGTAATCGGACTTTCACACTTATTTTTTTGGCCTTTGTACCGTGTCATCAATCCTTAACCGATTACCGTAAAAAATATTGAAAAAGTACAGGAATCTTTATTGGAATTTTTACACTCTCTATTTGACACCATAGAAAATATATAGATAACTAACTAGCTAAATGAATCTAAAGAAAATAATAGCAAAATAGTAAATTAAATTGATATATTTATTTTTGACAACTTAACAACTATTTTTGAAACACCCAAATACAGCTCTACGCCATACTCAACAAGAACGAACGGGTTTGCAGACGTCCTCTTCAAGGCGTTACAAACTTGGCGACATAGTCAAAATACACTTTTCAAGTCTGCAATAATAAAATACAATTTTAGTGCTGCATTCTTTTGGTCGAAGTTCCGGCAGTGCACAAAGTTTGCCAGATAGCCACAAACAACTGAACTACATGCGAGAGATATGTATGCCATTTTCACAGCAAACTCACGCACACCACACACACACATACACGCACATGCACACACACACACCAACTCACACACACACACGCGGCTCACAAATCAAGCGCGAGCCAAAGAAAACATTTCGCCTACTGCAACGCTTTGTGGATGAGATAAGCAAGTATCTCCGGCTTACGAAAACCAACAAAAACAAGAGTAACAACAACAAAACAACAACAACAACAATAACTAAAGAGGCATGTTGGGAAAACAATGGTCTGATGCCATTTTCTGAAGTGCCATCAGCTCGAGTGTTGTATAAAGTCAAAACAAAGGTAATAAATAAGTTTTTTAGGGCGCCCCAGTGGAAACGTATTGGGGCAGTTTCTGTCTTCAAAGTGGGCGTGGCACTGCTCAGCTGTTAGGCTCATGAAGCGGCGAGACTTGATAACCTCGGGCGGTACACAAGTGTAACAAATCTCGGCTCGGAGATTATCTCTCCATGCTGTATAAAAGACCACACATGTTTACATTTACTTTGCTTTATTTACTTTAAATCGGATTTAAAATCTTTCGAGGCTTAAAATTGTATTGCAATTGAAATGCAATTTGCATTAAATAAAATTGTACAATAATATGAGTAATTATAAATATTAATGTTAATGTTAAGGTAGCAGTTAATTTAAATCTGAAAACAATTGTAATTGATTTCATATTTAAACCTTAACATGACAATTGGAAAATTACGTTCGGGTTTTTGTTGCCATTTAAAATAACAAAGCGATACAAACAGCAGCGACACGGAAACAAAACAAAGAGCTAAGAAAAACATTCTACAGCTCTTTAAATTAAATAACACTTAATTTATAACATTTAAGCTTATATTTAATTTTAAAATCGATTATTATTCTTGTAAGAGTACAGACACTCTACGAATCAATTGCAACTGTTGTAACTCTCTTTGATAAATGAGCCTTGTCTCTTGTTCCAGTCCTGTTATGGAAGGCCATGATTGTTTCGGAGCTCTGAGAGCAGCCTGAAAATACTTCAAAATGTGTTCAGGAGTCTCGACCATTTCAAACAGAGGTATATTTCACAATTTGCTGCATTGGTTATTATTCGAACTCAAACAATCATCAGTAGTTTTCAAAGCTATCATAGTAGCGTTATTATGTCTTGCTCTGTCTGGCTCCAAATAAGAATTTTCATTAATGCGCACGCTCATAACACAACCAGGTCCGAGTCGACAAAATGGCTCAGAGCTGCATAAATGTTAGCTGCATCCTTCATGGGCAGAACATTAGCAAATTCATAGCTCGGAATGCTTGCGTCTCCCATGAACCTAGTAGATCGTTAATCTATCGATTTCTGTGAACTGCATTGAATTAGCTGAATAGCAAAACAACAAGCAGCTTAAATGCATTAACAGAAGCTGTCGAAAAACATGAAGCTGAACAGCAGTCAAACTGATTTCAACTAGTCGTATTGCATTCAATTATTCATTTTGAATGTAATTTAAAATTTGAATTTGAAATTTCACACATGAAACATTTTAATTAAATTTTTGACCACACTCAAAACACACACAGCAGCGACTCACACACTCACACAGCTCCCTGGTTAGAGCCGCAAAAATTACGTATACGCAGTGATATTAAATTAAAAAAGTTGACGGCGCAAAAAGTTTGCTTCTGCTGGTTTTCGCTCAGTTAGTTTTGCCGTATTTATTTACTCTGTACAATGTGTATATATTCTATTACATTTTTTTTAGTGCTTTTTTTTATTTTTTTGCTGCAAATTGAATTTTTGAGTGTGTGTAATAAAATTTGGAAAATAGCTACCGGCCGCAAATTGACAAAAACTGTGTGATTTGTTACATCAAATTGACCAACTACAATCCATATTTAATTGCCTTACTGTATAAGCCCTATTAGCCATTCAGAGCTTAAGCAATGCTTTTTTTCATATTTTGACTTAGCTGTGCTTCAATATTGGTTGTTTATAAGGCAATTGAAAAGCGTAACAAATAAGATAAGTATATTATTTATTAGGTAAATAATGGCTTGGAGTTGGTTTTCTCATATATTAGAAAATAAGATGTCGCATTTATTATTACTAAGAAACCGTTCATTAGTCATCATAACATATCCTGCATAATAAAAATTGAAAATTCAGACTTCTATGCGTCAAATCGAAAATCAGAGATCGATAAATAACGACGAACTTAAAAGAGCTGAATTTCCAAATAAAATCAAAAAGAATATGGAACAGATTAGAGCCTAATTCCACTATCGATATTTCATACATTCTTGAATATCTACAGAATGTAAAGTTTCCTAAATGACACACATTTTGTACATTCAACATTCCTCAGAATGTTGCAAATTTTGGAAATTTACCCTGAGTACTTTGGCTTTTTTTTATGATTCATCAAATTTCGTAACAATATTATGAAAATATCAATGATGACAAGTGTTTTCGTATATTTTTGTGAATAGAAAAACAAATATCTAGAAAATCTTTTCGTACCATCTTGCTTAGATTTAGATTCATGTCTCTATTCAGCTGGAGTTATCTGGTGATATTTTTTCTTTTGCAGTTATTTAAATATATATAAACTGTCAAATATCAAGTGTAATAAAAACGTGTAGGCAGTAACTGAACAACAAAATCAGAAGAAGCACTTGAGAGATATGCAATATCAGTTATCGGACCTAGAAGAGAATTGGACGCGTTGTGTTTGACTGGCAAAAAGTAAAGAAATACACATATAATATGAAAATGCTTGGTGGCAAGCGTTAAATGCTCGCATGCAAATGCTGCAGCAAATGGAACTTTTTTGGGGGGCGTGGCCAGTGCCGCAAATGCAAATAACTGTTGCCAAACATTTTCGACGAAAAATGTGCACACTGCATACATTTCACTAGGGGGTCCTCACACTCTTTTGTGGGGGTGGGGGGGGGGAGTTGGGCAGGGGGATGGGGTACATAATAGTAGTAGTCGTTGTAGTAGCACTCGTGGCTGCTGGTGCTGCTACTGCTGCTGGTGCTGATACTCTGGATTGCTGGGGTTCAACACGCCGCTCTTGTTGCAA